AACACGCCGTGTTTACTGCTTCTGCCCAAAAATATCTAGGAATGGTGTACTCATTTAACATTACCCTAACAGCTTTCACCAAGGTTCTATTCTTTCTTTTTGCTATTCCATTTTGTTGAGGTGTTCTAGGGGCTGAGAAATTATGCTCTATTCCTATCTCTTGGCAAAATGATTCAAATCTTTCATTTTGAAACTCTCCACAATGATCACTATGGATTGTTGAGATTTCACATCCTAATTTTCGTTGAATCCAAGTGGAGAATACATTAAATTCCTCAAATGACTCATTCTTATGTGCTAGGAATCTTACCCAAGTGAATCTAGTGAATCCGTCTATAATCACAAATCCATAATTTTTCCCACCTAGGCTAGAATGCTAACAGGTCCAAATAAGTCCATGTGTAGGATTTCTAATGGTTTAGAGGTGATCACATCTTTAATTGAATGAAATAATGATTTGATTTGTTTTTCTAGTTGGCAAGCATCACATAAATGGTCCTTAATGAAGTCTAACTTAGGTACACCTCTAATTAGGTTTTTTTTAGTGATGTTTCTAAGTGTTTTCATACTAGTATGGCATAGTCTCCTATGTCATAGCCATGAGTCATCTACTATTATTTTTAAGCAAAAAGAATTTGAACTATTAATGCAATCAAGGTCTAACTTGTAAACATTGTTCATTCGTTTCCCATCTAAAACAAGTTTGTCATTTAAATTAATCAGACATTTGTTAGAGAGAAATTTAATGTCAAAACCTTTATCACATAATTGACTAATGCTGAGTATGTTATGCTTCAAACCATCAACTAATAAAACATTTTTGATTAAAAATTCTTAGTATTTTCAAAAATACCTGAGCCTATCACTTTCTTGGTAGTATTGTCTCTCAATATTACTTTGCCTCTAGTCCTAGTCTCCAGTAAAATGAACTTTTTCATGTCTCTAGTCATGTGTCGCGAGCAGCCACTGTCTAGGTACCACATGCTCTCACTAGGTCTTTTGTTAGAGCATCCCTACAATTTCATTTAAGGGTTAGATTTGGGAACCCAAGTGAGTTTGGGTTCCTCCTTATGCTTATATGAATGAGATGTATGCATGATATACTGTAATGGATGCAATTTAGGTCTCCATACTATGTGTGTCCTACGGTGAATCATGCATGTGCGGGCTATGTGATCTAGCATGCCACAAGAGAAGCACCTAACACTGAGAAATGGGTTTACTAACCTATGTGAGTGGTGTTGCCTCTTCCTAAAGTTTTGTGATGCATGTAGTGCTGGGGGTTTGCTAGATTGAGCTAATATGAGTGATGCCTTTTCCTTTTTTAGTTCTTTATTTTTTTTCTTTAAATGTGTTATTTTGATAAATGTGTTATTTTGATATGTCAACCAGTCAACTTTTCAATTTAATAGATGTTCACTGTGATCTACCTCCAATGCAAGTTTGTCTAGTCTGTCAAAAGCCTCTTCTAATTCAACATGTGTTGTTTTTAAGGATTCATTCGCTTCTGTTAATTCAATATGCTTCTTATTTAATGCATCATACTCATCAAGCAGGGACATGTGATCTCTATCTAAATCAGAATGTTCTTTAACTAAGTTAGAAAGCTCAGTTTGTAAAGTACTAAAATCAATATTAAGACTAGCATGCATCTTTTTCAATTTTCTATACTAGTCATGGATTTTTTTTCAGAAATAAGCAGTAGATCTTCATATGAAAGTTAACATACCTCGTCTTGATCCGATTGATCAAGATTATCATTAGCTATTAGACACAAATCTGTTACCTCCTCCTATGCTTCTTCTTTTGATGATTCTGGGGCAGATTCAGTCTAAAAATCCTTTTGTGTTTTCATCTTCCCCTTCTTGTACTTAGCTTTATCCTCGCCTTTTCCTTAGCTTGCTGACTCTTTAAGTTGGGGTAATCAGCTCGAAGGTGACCTGGCTTCTTGCACTTAAAACAGATCGTGTTAGATGAAACTTTATTAAACTTAGAGCTTTAATCTTTATTCCAGCCGTTCAGATGACACCTTTGTTTTCTCTTTAAGAAGTTCTTGAACTGTCGTGTCATCAAGGTTATATCATCTTCTTCCTCCCCTACAGAGCTGTCACTTTCTGAATTGTTTGATTTTAAGGCCACCATTCGCTCCTTCTTTTCACCTGTATCACTTTATCTTTGACTCACTCCTTGGTCGTATGCAATGAGTGACCCAAGGAGATTATCAATAGAATAAATGTTAAGATCTTTAGATTCAGTGATAGCAGTTATCTTAGCATTGTAGGAACTAGGTAAGCATCTTAGAATCTTATTAACTTTCTCAGAATTTCAAATCTCTCTACCTAATGCATGCAAGGATGTCAT